TTTATGCATCTGTTATCATCTTGTACGTCATTGCTTGTCAAGTCACATTTATTTCTATAGTGTTTTATACAATAAAGATTGTTTTAAAGCAGCTTTACTGTAATAAACAAGAAAACAACTGTTATTATTCTGCAAAATTCATCAATTTTGAAATAACTTCAATTTCAGCTTGAATTCACAGCAGCCTTTTTTAGTCTTCTTTCATTCATTTGCCTGGTCAGCTTTGGATTTTATCTGGATTTTTTGTATATTTTTTGTAGCTTTTTTAAAGGAAAAGGAAACAAAAATCCTTTTTGAAAAATTAGACAAATCTCTTTTGGATATTTCTCTTCGGTTAACTGTATGCCTCCCTGCTGACTTTATCTGTACAGCAATAATACGTTTTTATAGCTTCACTGTACAAAGCTGTGCACAATGCAAAGCTGTGCATATTGTCCTACAAATTCTTCTAAAATGCCTTTAATAGCATCATATCCATTTACAGCTTTTAGCGGGAAACTTCACACAGTACACTAAGCCAGTTATGTAATCACTGTCACTGTATCCAATTAGCAAACTGAAGAAATAACCTCCAGTTAGAACAAAGAGTGCATACTGTGTCGTGTTGGACACGGCCCTAATCCTGTTCTCTAGTTTTAAGCCCTCAATTAAAATGAACGGAAATGGAATTTTGACCCCCATTAATTCTTTGGAACTACTAAATGTTCCATGCAACTTTCCATCTTTCCATGAAGTTCCATCCAAGTTCCACTTCAAAATGCTTCATCCTCTCTGTCAATTCGCTGATTGAGTATGGTCTGAAAAGTATTTTACCCAAATTTGGGGTCGATCAGGTGAGAGCTGTACGAAAAATGATACAGCATAGTATTATCAGTTATCAGCATATAATCGTTAGTTATCATCATAGTTCAATGAGTCAGTGTTTCCCCAGTTCCTCATAGTTCCAACAAACATTCGCAAACAGCATCGCAAAGTTGTGTGGTTGGAGCGGAAGCTTTCGACCTGTGGTTAAAAGCATAGTTTCTTGTTTGCGTGACATGTGGAGCTAATAAATCCTTATCTTCTTGAGCAAAACAAACAAGTTGACATTCAGTAAAATCTATTTCATTTACGTCTTTTAGTATCGCAAGAGATTTAAACCGCCGTTTTTGAAGAGTGTGCATGTGCGTGCTCTAGTATGAAGGAGCCTATGATTAAATGAGAATAGGCTTTATGCCGAGCGTCACGTGACCAAGCCGGAAAACAGATCACATCGCTTCCGATTCAGGTCTTTTGTATGTGCTTCATGAAATTTTTTGCGGTTTTACTCATGATAACTTAAAAGGAGCAAGCAAAAATGAGCATAACCAATGTCCCTCGCATGTGCAGATTGATATTTAAAAGTTTTTTAATTTTTCTTCTTCACACTAACGTTTAGATATTTAAATAGCATAAAACACCAATAACAAAGTGAACTTAGTAGGTTAGCTGATTACCTTAAAAATCCATATCGTAGTTAGTTCTTACGGCCGTTAACACTTTCTCTGACAAGCGGATGCAATGAGACCTGTTTTCCGGTTTGGTCACGTGACGCTCGGCATAAAGCCTATTAGTCCTCAGATGCCATGTCCATAATTTATAGCAAAAATTCTGGAAAAGTAATATCTCAAACCGGATTATAGTAATAAGAAGTTATTACTGCATTCCCTCACCTGCGTGACATCATTAACGTGGAAGTGGTTGAATGTCAAAAAATGTTGCGACAATACGTGTTTGTGAAATAGTAGTGAAGTGACTAGCGAGTTGAATTCGTACTATGGTAGTTAAGCAGCGAGTTATGTCATTGTATGGGAAACGCACCCAAGAGCGTTACTGATAGACTGGGAAAAGAGGTGCTGCAACAATGTGAAAATATGTGAAAAATAATGTGTTTTTTGAACATTCAAGCATGAAAACCTATTTTAGTAGACCCGAAAACAAAAACAAGACTCTGTAAAAGGGCATATTTGGCTCTTTAATGATTCTGAGGTAAAAAGAATTTGTATTATGTTTCTTTAAAACTCACGTTTGCCATTTAGTTACAATGTACTTTAATGGTTGATGGCTCTAGAGGTTTTGAGAGAATGACCCCATAATGTTGAGACTCTCTTCAATCAGTTTCCTAAATTGATTGTGTTTATTACCAGACACATCAGTCTGAATATTCAGGGGGTCGTGTGCCACTCAGTGCCTGCGGGTGGATACAGTACAGCCACTGTTTACAAGCACAGAACCTGGACTCATAGCAACCACAAAGAGAAGAACGACGAGAAGAAGAGATAGATAAAGGGAGAGAGCGAAAGTGAGGATAGGTTTTTAAAGTGTTATGGTGATAGAAACTTAAGTGTTTTCTGTTCTCTGTCCTCTTAATATCTGGCACATGGTCACATATCTTTAATACCTTTAAAGGGCACTTGCCTCTTCTGAGAGCCCTTCATAATCCGTGTCTTTTCCACTGTCAGTGGCACATAATCTGTTTGTGCTTCTTACAATGAGACTATTGTTCTTAACTAAATAATAGAATAATGTCATATGCTGTATGTTAAACATTAAGTTTTATGTTTCAAGGGAGTTTGACGATCGTGGGGCTTTGAGACTCTGCCCTGGGCTTGTTAACTGGTTAAAGGTGGAATGTAATAACGTATAACTTTCTAGATATTTACGTAAACCAGATGTTGAGATTGACCATAACTTGCATTAGATGCTTTGCTTAATACAAATTATATTTGTTTAGCCATTTCTCAGACAGTTAAATATTGACTCGTGTATCAATAAATCATTTTATATTGACATTGCTTGTATAATAATTTGGCTTTATTATAAAAGCAGTTATTCAAGTATATTCATAGACACAAGACTGTTCAAAAGTTTGAGGTCAGTACGATTTTTTTTTAAATAGTAATTTTATTTAGCAAGGATTCATGAAATTGATCAATTAAAAAAAAAAAACAGGTAAGACATTTATAATGTTACAAAACATTTCTGTTTCAAGTAAATGAGCACCAAATCAGCGTATTAGAATGATTTCTGAAGGATCATGTGACACTGAAGACTGGCGTAATGCTGAATATTCAGCTTTGCATCACAGGAATAAATTATATCGTTAAAATAGAAAACAAATATTTTAATTTGTAGTATTATTTCATATTTTTAATCGAATAAATGCAGCCTCGGAGAAAATAAAATGCACTGACCCAACTTTTTAACGGTAGATAACATGAGTTGACATAAAATGTTTTAAAAATGTATTCTTTTATTTATTTATTTATTTATTAATCCACAAGCGGCAACAACACACCCCTTAACTATGGTTATATATCGCTCTACTAGTGCTTTAATTGATCTTAATGTTCCATGATGCATCTGGCTAGCGATCATCAGTCGTATATTTAAACAATCCTCCATGAGTAAGCTTTGTGATGTATGATGTGCCCTTATAAGTGTAACATTTTTTTATAGCCTCTATTTTGATTGTTGGTCAGTGCTTACGCATCATTGACAATAAGGTTAATGACACAAGGAGGAGGTTGTGTTTTTGCATGAACTCAACTGGGATGGATTGTTTCACTCGAAGTGGATTGTGTAATAGATCTGGATTGCAGTCTTAGGTCGAACTGACATGCAGGTGTTAGACGCTTCTCAGACAGCAGCTGGTTATCAGGAGCAAACATCCACACTTTCGCTGGGTTTTCCCTCTGTTTTCCCTCTCTGCAGACCCACTGATATAAACGTGCTGGCACAGAGCGAATGGCACTTTAGAGTCACAGGCTGCTCTTGACTCTGAATAAGGGCTCGGTCTCACAGTTTGTTTATGCAGACAGTCTGAAAGACCATTATTCCTCATTTACACAGACTGTGAGGCCCTGCACTCTGTCTGCTGACTTTACGACGCACCGTTTATTCAGCGCTGTGGCTGCAAACACACACTGAGGTGGTCACAAGATCAACTTAAAAACATTCTGCATTGTGTCGATGAGAATGCCTGAAATCAATCTTTCACTGAAGGTGAAGTGCGTAGTTTCTGCACCTCTAGCTTTACAAACAGAATTGCAAAGATTAACCAAATTTAAAGTCAGTTCAACCTAGCTGATCAATAATGCACAATTTATGTTTTAAAATATTTGTAATATTTTCAGAAAAAATATTGTGTAAAAACAATGTTTCATGCTTTCAAACGTTTGGGGTCGGTAAGATTTTTAAATGTTTTTGAAAGAAGTCTTTCCGTAAGATTTCCAAATCCGTAAGACTTTCGTTCATCTACAGAACACAAATGAACATATTTTTGATGAAATCTGAGAGCTTTCTGTCCCTCCATTGACAGCTACATAACTGACGCTTCAAAAAGTTCATATAAAGAAATCGTAAAACTAATCCATGTGAATTGAGCAGTTTATATGATGAACAGATTGAATTTAGACTCTAATTCACATATAAACATTCATCAACTCACACATCAGTTGTGGTAAACAGAAGCTCAAGCATGTTCGCTTGTGTGAGAACCAATGAGGTTCATTCTCGTGTTACGCAGCACGTTTGAACTTCAGCAAGAACCAATGAGGTTTGTTCTCGCATGTCTAGCAGGTTCGGTTGAGCTTCTGTATATGTTCTCTGATCAATGTTTATATGTGAATAAAAACCTACATTAAATCTGTTCATCATATAAAGCAATCAAGTCTCTTCGGAAAATTTGGACTAAACCGCTCAATTTATATGGATTAGTTTTACAATCTCTTTATGATATTTTTGAAGCGTCAAAGTGGTAGTTGCGTAGCTGTCAATGGAGGGACAGAAATCTCAGATTTTATCAAAAAGATTTTCATTTGTGTTCTGAAAATGAATGAAAATCGTATGGGTTTGGAGCGACATGAGGGTGAGTAATTAATGACAGAATTTTCATTTTTGGGTGAACTATCCCTTTAAAACTTTTTGGTTTTCCCTCCACTGTCATACTAACTAGAACATTCCCATCCTCTGGTTGACAGGACGAACATCAATTCTGAGCCAGACCCCTGCTTTCCATACAGTCCACATGACTGAGCCATGCAGCAGCGCTGAACAGCAGACCAACACCTGTGTTCTTGGTTAAAACAAGGTAAACCCTAATTGCGTCATATTTTATTAGCAGAGCCACACATGTACTTCATTTACAAGCCACTAAATTACTCTGGCAGGATATCCTGTGGTCTGTGTCAGGCTCCTTTGCAAATCTGATGGTTTACGGCTGGCCTGAGGACATTATTTACATACACTCAGCTAATGGCTGTAAACTAGTCTTGTTTAACTTTTTAACTCTTTATTGCTTCATGTAGATGTCATCAGCCAATGAGAATGGAGTCAGCGGGTCTACCAATAACAGTAGAGAGAAAACATACAAAAAGGTAGATTGTTTTTATTATTGTTTTCTTTTTATCTATAATATTTTGTTTTCATGGAGAACCCATTATTATAAAATATGACTTTTTTGTATTTAAAAAGCACCGTTTTTAATTGTCTATTATTTTTCATTTGTATAGGATGTATGCATTTTTTACATTTGATTGATTTATAAATATTAACCACAATAGCTCCTAGTCAATGATGTTGTTGACACCTAATATATAGATCAATAGATCTACAGTAGACTAAAGCCTTTTCAAAAGTAAACAAGTACCGGTAAAATGAAAATGAGCAAGAAATTAGAAAATAAAAAAATGCAAGAATTATTAATTTGATATATTTCAAGAATTATAATATCATTTGGAGATGGTGTTTTCTTACAACCTTCTCCTGTCATCTAATGCCGGGTACAAACTGCATGATTTTAGCCCCAATTTTCAATCACCGACAGTTTCGTGAAAATCGCCAACAAATGGCCGAAATCAAAGGGAAGCTGGTGCTCGTTCGCGTGAGTGACAATCATGTAGTGTGTATTATCTCTCTCTCTGAGAGAAGCGGTGATGTGTCGCTGATGCCCGTGAAATATTTAGAATACTAAACATCTGGACCTGTCTGTGACAAGAGACAAGAGGCTGTTTTTTTATGGATGTCAATGGAGGAGGCTTCACTGCGCTGAATAAACAGCTTTTGTTAGGAAATAGCTTATCATTTAATGAATCGACAGCCCATCTGCTAATCTTCTACATGTTTGCTCTTAAACATTCATTTAGGATTGATCTATTTTTAGAGTTTACACCGAACAAAATAAGAGAAATTGCACAACAGGCATGATTCAGGTTATGGCACGTATCATTCATTTATATGGTATCTGCAAACAGTGACTGACTGTCGCACAACTCAAATTCAATGACATCAAGGCTGTATGTGATTGGTTATCAAGGCATACGTGATCCAAGTTAGCCGTTACTTTTTTTCCAATCGTAGAGCCACGGTCCCTCATATCTCCCAAAAAATAAGGCCATCTCTGCTCAGAGTCATGCAGTCAATGCGAAATGTGGTTTGACTGGAAATGACATCGCCGACGGCCTACAGCCAATGAGAGATACAGGGCTAGGTAAAGTTCAGGGGGATGAGTCATAGACCTGCAACAGAATATCAGCAAGCAAGCATTTTCTCCTTCATATTCTTCTTTTTTTCTTTTTCACTGCATATCAGCGCACAGACACCTTGAATCACGAGCTTTTGCGGGCATCATTTTAACAAGAAGAAATTCAGTCGCGAGAACTCCTGTCTCACACGTGATCTTGCATTATTTTCTCGCGCGTTCGGTTGTGAAAAGTAGTTCTCTGTGATTCTTCCTATTGAAATGTTGTGTAATGTGTGACCCCCTGTCGCCGATCCGCCGTGTAATGTGCACACAGCAGCAACTAAATGGTACCCTTGGCAGTCGTGTAGTGTGAGAAGAACAGCGATCCGACGACTTTGAAAAACATTCAGCTTGTACCCGGCATAACCCATTTGTATATAAAACAAAAACAAAAACTCACTTGTGATTGAATTTTCCAAGGCAGGGCCTCTGAATTCACGACTATGTACATCTGTGTTTCGCTGCATGTTGATAAAACACAGAAAAAGATCGACAAATTGTCCGCCAACACCTCTGTTCAGTGAAGAATGAGCTACTTTTTTCCATTCACGTTATTGTCAGTTTGTCCAATGTTGATAATGTCCACCCTTCTAAATGTTGGTATCAACAGAGGCCTATCAATGAACTTTCCAAAATTCCAAGATTTGATGGTTTTGTTAGGCCTTTTCATGTTATGGCTGATCTAATACTTCCAGTGAACCTTGCTCAAGAGTTTTGACTTGCACAAATGTCATTTGTTTAACCGAAGGAGATTTAGTAGGCAAGTTTAGTCTGCATCTAAAAAGGACCTCAACAAAGTCACATAAGAGCAGGTTTCACAATTACTCTATACTAATTTGTTTTGCTTTTTATTTCCGATATTGTCTCAGACTACTTCATCTGCCCTGAAAGGAGCTATCCAGCTTGGCATTGGTTACACCGTGGGGAATCTGACCTCAAAACCTGACCGAGATGTGCTCATGCAGGACTTCTATGTGGTGGAGAGTGTGTTTTTACCCAGGTATGGACAGAGGATGCATACATGTGCAGGACGCTGCCTGTGCATATTGCTGTTTTGTCAATGTTCATGACAAAGTGGTCTGGAATGAGGACATTTCTCAAATTCTCAAATATGGTATTTAGTTTGGGTCATCTGCTCTCCTTTTTTTTTTCCTAAATAGGGAAATCTTAACATCAGTACATCTTGCAGTGATTAATCACACTCTAAACAGAGTGTATCATGGGAACTAGGAACTTGAGCTCATGCTAAATCCTGCACAGTTGATTCTTGCACAAATGATTCCCAAAAGACTAATTTTAGTGAGCAGAGTATATAGAAGATTCAAAGGGATGCCACTGATCCACTAGCCTGACTTCCTTATTTATAGAGTCTGATTCTCTCACTGGGGATTGCACTAGTTGCATGCACTCGCCCTCAGTCTGAACCAATTCGACAGTCTGTGGTTGTGTACTACTTACAATATTTTGCATATACTTTGTAATGAAGCAAAATACTTTATGCAACGTTTGAATTAAAGTTTGCATACTGTGAATAATACACTGTATGCATAGTAGGGGTGTGCAACAAATATTATTATCTGTATCTACAGGATATTGGGTATGATGACAAATTTATTTGTATTCGGTTAAAAGCAGAAGAGGACAAGTTGGTTAGAACTAAAATAATTTAAACTTTAAAGCACGTTTATTATTCATACACTACCATTACCAAAACTTTTACAGTCAGTAAGGTTTTTGTCAGAAGTCTCTTATACTCACAAAGGTTGCATTTAAAATGTAATTTATTCCTGTGATGGTAAAGCTGAATTACTCCAGTCTTCAGTGTCACATGATCCTTCAGAAATAATTCTAACATGCTGATTTGGTGCTCATTTATTTCAGGTTTCCTTGATGAATAGAAAATGAAAAAGAATTTAATGCATGCTGAATAAACATATTAATTTCTTCTTTTTTTTTAAATCTTACTGGCCCCAAACCTTTAAACGGTAATGTATATTTAGTATAGTAAAAAGTAGGGATGTAACGATATCAAAATCTCACGGTACGATACAATTTCGATATTGACCTCACGGTACGATATTTATTGCGATATTGTGGAAAAGCTCACGGTATTGTTAAATAGCTCACGATAGTGTTTGTGATGATAATCTAAATAATAGGGCTAAGGGGAAGGGGTAGACACCCCTTAAAACCAAGAATTTTCGCGAGCTTACTTGAAACCAAGGGGTACCCAGAATGCACTGCGCAACCGGCAACAATGGCAGGCATATCATCCAGAGAGTCCCATAAATGTAAGTATTTTTGGCTTAAATGATTGATTAAAAAATTATGACAGTCTTGTTTTGTGCTCTACACAGTTATGTACATATATATTTGCAACTATGTTGTTTATTGAAATGTTTTTAACGTTTTTAAAAATCGCTAGTTTGCTACGCTAGGCTATCCTAACGTTACATTACTGATTTGCACAATCAGTCCCACATTTCGAGATCACCCAAAATGTCCGGGATTCAGCTTTTACTTTCTACAGTCGCCATTCATTATGTGTACATTATTTGACACTGACACGTAACGTTACGTGCCAGCTTCAGGTGATGCATTCAGCTTCAAACGGATCCCGAACGAGACGAAAACACAGGAATATTAGCAATGCTAAAATGCACATCAACATATCACTTGTTTAGCGTTCATGTACGTCAGGAAAAAAAAACATCTTGTCGATTTATTTTGATTAATATGTGCGAGCCTGCGAGGGAGAGAGAGCAATACAGCGCTTAGTTTTGAGACCTTTTGAGCCTTTCGCTTGCTTGGCTCCGAAGAGAGAGAGAGAGAGAGTGCGCGCGCGCGACCGGGGCTCGCTCTCTCGCTCTCTCTCTGCTCGTTCAGGTAAACATGCGCCCTGTCACAAGCGCAGCAGTTCATCTACATTTCTCTTCTCCCTTAATTTCTGCGATTTGTTGCAGACAATAAACACACTTGCAGACGGCATCTTGGAAGTTTGTGATCCGCGGGACTGTGTTTATTCCTCTTGCTTTGTGACGGACACCAGTCCTTTTAATATTGTAACCCAACCACGACGATATCGAGACACGTTTACCACCGCGATAGCGCGATATCGTCAATATCGTTACATCCCTAGTAAAAAGTAGTAAAGATTATGCATAACACATGTAGGCTAGTATGTGTATACTCACATGCTTTAGATGCATTTGGAATGACAATTGAATAAAATGTAATGACAAGCTCGTGATTCACCTTACAGCAGTAATATTCTAAAAACACATAACTTTTTCATTTGATTATGGCTCTATTAGGCTTATCTATATCAGAAAGAAAAAAAATAGAACATCACAGGCATTTTTCATACAAGCTAGATTATTAAACAGGGAATGCTCAGACTTTGATATTATTGTTGACTTTATAGGCATATCATTAAATTGTAATTTTATGTGTTGATTGAAATATTTGATGATATTATCAAAAATATTTTACTCAGAAGTATTTATTTCATTCTATTCATTCTAAAGTCATTATTCATGCTTTTCAGGATAAGGTAATCAGGCACATCCTATGCTACAAAAATAACAGTAATACATTAGTATGCTATTCTGAACATTGTATTGCAGACAGGCAGAGATAAATGACTTGTATGTCTATGAGACAGATTTGCACATGCTGAAGCCCCATTTTTCAGAGTTAGGTCAGTCGTCTGCCCCTCATCTGCCCGCTATTGTTTTAGTTCTTAGAGACAAGCTCTAATTCAGAGGTCAGATGTACATTTTGGATTGGGTTACACAATGGGCACGGATTTGGGTTTATCGTTTAATAGTGGGACATCGTCTGCACCAGCTAATGCTCAGAACTTATTCAATTGCCCTGAAAAAACAACAACTCTCTAATCCACTTGTTATGAGGGATCACAGGCACTTTTTGTTTAGCGGTATATTGAGTGATTATGACATCATATGTCCCTTTTAAGTCACACGTTTAGGAATTATTCAAATGGGGTTAATACAAATTCTAATGACCTGCCTCATAATAAAAAAAGGTGAAAAATGGGTTACAGGATTTTTTTCCCCCCAGGGCTTGCTTTCATTATATAATGTGTAACTGATGTGGCTGACCCTGGTCTTTAGTTTGTGTAACCGTTAGTAGAGTAAGACTAGGACCTCCTTGTCCTCAGGCATTGGTTGCTGTTGTGTGTCTCTGGAAAAGAGTACCTCTGGTGTTTACTGCTGGTGGGTCACATTGCAACAAGGACATGCTCAATGGGGCTCAGAAAGATCAAATGTGTCTCTGTTCCTTGGGCATAAAGAAGCATTTAGGTTGGGTAACAGTTTCTCACAATTTCTGGTCCTCTTACGGGATTATGTTTACAGACAGAAACCAGATTCTGCCCAGAAGCCTCTTGTGTCAGGGAATGTGATGATCATTAATGAAACAAACAGTTGATTCACATATATGCTTTGTTTATTGTGATACCTTAAGCAAATGCTTTCACTTTTGCAGTGAGGGAAGCAACCTGACTCCAGCGCATCATTACCCAGACTTCCGTTTCAAGACTTACGCACCACTGGCTTTCCGCTACTTCCGCGAGCTGTTCGGGATCAAGCCAGATGATTACTTGGTAAAACACAATTTTCAATTTCTTTATTGATTTTGGAAAAAATAGTTTAATCTTGTATAACTTATAAAAAAAAAACGTATTTTGATGAGTTAAAGCAATGTAAAAATATTTGTTGTCATAACTTATTGATCATATATTTTTTTACAGTGTATTTCAATATATTTATAATAATATTTCAGTTTTTACTGTGTTTTTGATTAAATAAATGCAGCCCTGGTGAACATAAGAGACTTCAATCTTACCGTTCCCAAACTTTTGAACAATGGTCTACATGTTCCTGGTCTTATTTTGAACTATTCATCATTGCAAAGCATGCATGAACTGCTATGACTGCAACTAAATGCAATTTTCACCTCCATTTTAATGCCAAGATTATTACGTGTCCCATTCCCTAAAAGTTCCCTCTGTCTGAGCCATAACAAAGCATCTTTGTAATTAAAGTTCAGTGCCTGCTTACATCAGGCGCCAGTAAGAGTGACCAAGAGACTGCTGACCACTGATGAACTTTACCGCTGCATCTTGCCAACTGTGACTGGCAGGAACTCAGAATCTACGTCCTCATTTCTAAATTTCCAGCAGGGATTAGCGGTTTGGTTTGATGTGTTCTCGCTATGCAAGATGCGTCCTGGCACATTGCGATGAGGTGTTGGAGGTGTACGTTTCCCTGCACTGCAACACATCTCGCAGCCACTGCAGTGCCTCTGCAGCATCTCTGCAGCTCTCATGCAGTTTAATCTGAGTGTTTGCGTATGTGAGTCAGGTGGATGATGCTGATTAGGCATATGATCTCAGTCAAGCTGTAAATTGCCTCCTCTGCACTTTGACATCTAATGGCCATGTAATTAGCCCAGCAGAGCGGTATCAATCCCAGGTGCCTGATAGTCTGGTCTTCCCATGTAATTTATGAACCTGCATTATATCATCCTCTGTTATGAATCTATTGTGTGATTGCATTGCATTGCACAAAAAAAGTTAATTATATAGTGTGTGCTATGCAGAAGCTGGATTTTATGGTGTCTATAATAATAAGGGAATACCTTTTTACATAATACTATTCAAAACTACCTTTTTTGCATTTTTTATTTTGCATAGGCGAATGGGAGTTCCTTATTATTTGCATTTACTCTGGATACACTTAAGCATTCTATAAAATCTGCATGAATTGATCTTAGATGGAGTGAAATCTATTTAAGTTTAGAAGTTCGTGTAGCTCAACAGGTAAAGCATTGTGCTTGCAATGACAAAGTTTTGGTTTCTTTTCCCAGGGAACACATAGACTAATGTTAAAAAGTTTGGGGTCAGTAAGAATTTTTGTTATTTTAAAAGAAGTCTCTTATGCTCACCAATACTACTTTTAGGCTCAGTTTACACCTGGTATTAAGATACGTTTTGGTCGATCGGATCTTAAGTGGACGACGCTAAATACAGGTGTAAACGGGGTCTAAAACTTTTTGAGCTTGTCTACTTTCGACCATTTCCAGAGGTAGTCGAAAACACATTCGACCGGATTGCTTTCGTAGTGTAAATCCTCATGTGGTCGAATGGGTTTGAACAGCCACAAAAGACCGCTTACTGTCCGCCTACTGACTTGCGTTAACATTATCGGAAGCGCGCTAGCCAGACGGGATTTTGTTGGCTGAAGACCCTAGTTTGGTTTGAAGACGAAAAACGTACCAAGCACAATGTTCTCATTGTGGGATACAGTATTCCATGCAGTGTGCTCTGTTGTATTTTGGCAAATGAAGTGGGTCAACCAGTTATATCATGGGCTATGTTTGAAATAACATATTAACATACTACTTTTACTGTTTCTGCAGTATGTAAGTACAGTATATGCCAAGTTTAGTCATGAAACTCTTTCATGGCCCTGATTTTCTGTCTCGTCGCTGGTTCTTCAGCCAATCAATCGCTTCTTCCTATCTATGCTCGCCTTTATTTTTTCCTATCCGACTAGATTGAGCTCAGTCTGCGCACTGTCACTATTTCCCCTCCTCCTCCCCAGCTCCACCTGTCTAGATCTGCTACAGGGGTTATCCTTTGTCTTGAAGCAGCACGTTTTACTATCATACACTCTTAGTCTGCCAAAACCAAACTTATTTAACAAACTACACAGAGAGTTGTCAAGACTGAAATATAGTACAGTGTGCACTGTGCAAGGTTTGCACATTTTCTAAACTCATAAAGAACCCTGATGACCTTCTAGATTTGCCAAAGTATGCAGTACACAACAGAGCACACTGCACAGAATACTGTATCCCACAATGCAATGCTTTTAGACTGATTATTTGGTTTAACTGACAAGACTTAAGACATTTTTAAATAAAATTGAATTAATAATACTAAAAAGTAATGTAGCATACTACATTTTGAAACATTTATCCAGTAGTTGATTTAGTAGTTGGCAGTATACAGCACAGTATTCAGTGAGATAGTAATCTATTCCAAACACAGACATGCACACAGAAAATCTGCATACTTGTGCATACATAATGCAAAAATTATGTGTTGTTTTCTGTTATGCTATTCTAAATGTAGTCTTTATACACTAGCAGTGACCACAATATATTGTGTTTTCTAAGTCCTTTAGTACAAGGGTAAACTACAAAATGTAGATGGTTTGCACTATAACTGGGCACTAGGAATAAGGAACGAGGAAAGAAAATGCAAGACTAAAATACTGTAGGAAATGGTTAGGCTAAAGATGAAAGAATGTGATGTAAGCTTACTCTTCTGAGTATGTTGTGTGTATATTTTTGTAATTATGCAGATAGGCCAGAGGAAGTGCGAGCTAATTAAGAAGCCACACACACGCGGGATGACACGCAGTCCAAATGCTAATGTCCATGTGTTTGGGCTGGAAGTACAACGTGACTGTTGACTTTCATTAGGCAGGCCTTGAATATGAGTGTCTGGCCTCAGTTCAACACTGTCCTCATGCTGCTGCTGCGTCCCGGCCTCCTCAGGGAACACCGCCAGAAAGGGCAGTAGAAATGTTTGCTTTAAGACCTCATAATGTTTGGGGTTTTTACGCAACCCTAATTAAACCACAGGACTTCCTGGCAGTAATAATCTGGTCTTTCAGTGTGTAAGGCAAACTGTTTTTTTTGGGATATTGCAATAAAACACAGTACTGCAGCCAGTCAATTTGGTGATGTTTTATAATTCATGTTTTATGAGTAACTCGTTTCTTTAGAGTTTCTTAAGAGTATTGTTGCCAGTTTAGCACAAATATGAATTGGTTATTAGGTTTTTCATATATTTAAAACACAGCTAAAAATAGATGCTCTTTCATAAAAGTCCCAGAGTACCTTATTATAAGTTGCACACACTGTAGTCTTGTACATTTCAGACACCTTCTGCTCTTGATGATTATATAGTGCGCAACAAGACCGCCCACTTTTTCAGCGGCCTTAGTTTCTATTCAAAATGTGAAAAACAGGCACTTGTGTATTCTATTGATGAAATGATCTGCTCATCCCATCCCAAGCATTGCCATTGACAATTACATGAAATATCGATGGTACAATATATATAATATATTATATTATATTTTATTTAGTAATATAGTATGTATATATACGCCTCTTTCAGACCATGAAAGGAATTAGTAAGTTTATCTGTTGCAAGAACAGCACCATTATTACCTCTCTTGTGAGAAACGGCATGTAGCTTTTAAGTTGCTAAACTATTTTAATGATAAAATCGTCAGGGCAGCACTAACAACACGTTTCTGTGCGAGTGTGTGTCTGTACTGTATGTGTGTGCGTTTGAGCAGGAGAAAGAGAGTATGTGCTTTCCGTACATAATAAAACATAATTGTGTGGCAAAAAACATGGAAATAATTTGTCGATTTATCCTATTGTTTACTATATTTATTTGCTTGGTCAGTGTCATTGTAGGTTTTGGTTCTTTTGTAGGTCTGTAAGGACCTGTAAGGACTTTTGAAATAACTGAAATTATTTGGCGAAGTGATATGGAACTGTAATGCGGTCAAGACCTGCCTGGAATTACTTTAGCCGAAAATTATTGCACACCTTAGATTAGAATGTCCGTCAACCAATCAGATTCAAGCATTCATGGTATAAATACCATTTATAACCCTGGTATAAATATTTATAATGGATTGTTTTTTTCTTGTAATCCTGCAGTATGCTATTTGTAAAGAGCCCCTGATTGAGTTGTCTAATCCGGGCGCCAGCGGCTCACTCTTCTACCTGACCAGCGATGATGAGTTCATCATCAAAACCGTCCAGCACAAGGAGGCCGAGTTCCTGCAAAAACTGCTTCCAGGATACTACATGGTAGGTCTCAGTGGAGTAAAGAGTCATTCATCTCTTTAGTAAAGAAACCTGAATAAAACGCTGTGATTCAGTAGTACAGACTCATCTACATTAGAGAATTAAAAGACCATTTTTATATATAATTATGTTTATTGAATTTTAATTACAACACAAATACAGGAATCAAAAACACTAAAAAAAAGGGACACACATAGCTCAAATTTGTATAAAAGACAGGAATACTTATTAATTCTGATACCGTAATTAAAAATATTACAAATTATACTAAATAATAATAGGATGAAGAGGATGTTCCAAATAGTCCAGATATGGGGTTCAGACCTTGTAAAACTGGCCTTGTTTTCTGATGTAATACATAAGACGCTTGTCCAGTGGAATCAACTCAGAAATAACCTTATGCCAACCTTTAAGTGCTTTGTGACCTTTGATTTCATGTTACCCTTTCTCATTTTCACCTTTCACTTTACCCTTTCACATTTGTGCAGAATTATTTAAAGCAGCCAATATAGGTTTACTTTTTGTGTCTGAAATAAGCCATAAATATTTCTAACCAGACACAAAAGTGTATTTTACATCATTTTTTAAAATAATATTTCAAGTAAAATTATACAATTAATTAAAAAATAAATAATATTTAAATATAATTTTTTTTTTAATTAAATTAAAAAATGTTTATCTGTTTTTTTTCTGTGTATATTTGTAGCAAACAGGCCATTGGGTCACCCAGTGCATTATATATTAGCTAGTTTTGATGTGAAACGCTGCCTCAAAAATATTTATACACTCGGTTTGGTTGCTTAATACGAATAATATGTACATTTTTAGGTATCTTACTGTTATAGATGACTATTCGTCTATTCTTCATGGTCATATATACGTATGTCCTCTTTGTCTCTTTTTCCAGCCTTTCCAGTTCAGTATTTTGTGTAAACATTACACCAGAAAAGTTTGTTTACGTACTGTACATACCGTACTCAACAGTTGTCTTGCTGTTATAGTTAAAAATTTCATGTGAAGTGTGTACGTTTTGCGCTTCTAGTGGTTTTTGATAGTGTCACAGAGTCCTAGAATGACTTAAATTTGACTATAATCAGTAATCAAATGGTAATCAATTAGGATAGAGCAAAGTATTTTAACATTAAAAAATGACATCTCCTTAATTTAAAACCGTTTCACTTCCTCAGAACCTCAACCAGAACCCAAGGACTCTCCTACCCAAATTCTACGGCCTGTACTGTGTTCAGTCTGGAGGAATCAACATCCGTCTCGTGGTTATGAACAACGTTCTGCCACGGTCTTTAAAGATGCACTACAAATATGACCTGAAGGGCTCCACGTACAAGAGACGGGCTTCTCGAAAAGAGCGGGAAAAGGCCTGCCCCACATATAAGGACCTAGACTTTGTGGACATGCACGATGGCTTGTACTTTGACACAGAGACATATAACGCCCTGATGAAGACGCTACAGCGAGACTGCCGGGTGAGTACTACCCCATTTTGACATTTTTCAAAGAAAATGTGAATTGTGTCTGCTTGTGGGTGGTTTTCAGGGAACTGCTGTGGTTGCTGACGTGATTGGAGTTTGCTAAACGTGTTGCCAATAGAATATAAAACTAATTGAAAGCTAAGCAACAATGGGGAATCATGAGATGGATAAAACAAATGTATTTGAGTAGCACTGTTTTTGTGATGGCCTACCTTGAATTAATCAAACCTGATAATCTGAGTGTCACTGTAGTGTTTAAAAGTTTGTTACAAATCATTACAGGTTAATGTTTCATAAGGGTATCATATGGCTTATGTTTCACTGTAATAAATGAAGTGTTACGTGGACGAAAGGAGATGAACCCAAAACAGACAGAGTGCAACGAACAGGGGGTTTATTGGAACAAAACAGGAAAACAAAGCCCACGAGGGGGCAAAACACGACTAGGACAAGGAATGGATGGCAGACTAGACTAGACAATGACTGTACAATAAACTGACAATACTTCAAATAAACGTTCACAAAGACAAGACTCTACACTAAGTACTCACGGGTAAGAAATGGCAAGGTATAGCAACATAAACAGATTCGACAACATTCAGCATACGTTAGGCAATGAACCGACACAAGACAGCAAACACAAGGGGATTAAATACCAAGAAACTAACGAGGGGAACAGGTGACGCTGACAAGGCAATCATGACTAAACACGGATAACAAGGGGGCGGGGTTACAAGACGAGACAACACAAGCACATGGCCAAACAATTGGCCATGCGCTTGTACACAAAACATTGGTTCTGTCATGATCCTGCCACAAGACTAAGAATAATCAATAACATGATGGCAGAATCATGACAGAACCCCCACTTTAAGGAGCGGCTACCAGACGCTCCTCAAAGAGACACTAAGCACAGGACAAGACGGAACGAGACAGACAAAAACCAACAAAACATGGAAAACACTAATAACGGCATACATGAATAAACAATAACAGGGTTGGGATGGAACAATAAAAACATCAAGCAAGGCAGGGGAGGTGGAGGAATAACAGAGTTCATGGGGGGTGGTCCAGGTAGGATGGGTGTGCTGGGGTTCTTAGGTCCATGGGGTAATGGCAAAGAACGAGGAATCCGGGCAGGCTTGGAGGAAGACAAACGAGGATGGGACTTGGGCGAAACAGTCCGGGGTTTAGTGGTGACAAGGGGAACAGTCCGGGGACCAGTGGCGACAGGGGGAACAGTACGGGAACAAATGGCGACAGGGACGAACGGGGAAACAGTCCGGGGATGAGACGTGACAGAGGAGACAGGGGAAACGAACGGATGACCGGAGACAGCGGGGACTGCAGCAGCAGGTAGTGGAACAGAGACAAGGGGATTAACAGGTGGTAGGGGGGTGGGAACAGGAACAGAGCTCCCAGAGGTGGACCCAGAATCAACGCTCCAGAACTCTGATTCAGTGACCGCCATGGGCTCTGAAACTGTACCCTCAGCGGCAGGCTCGGGTGCAGCGCTCTCGGCGGCAGGCTCGGGTGCAGCGCTCTCGGCGGCAGGCTCGGGTGCAGCGCTCTCGGCGGCAGGCTCGGGTGCAGCGCTCTCGGCGGCAGGCTCGGGTGCAGCGCTCTCGGCGGCAGGCTCGGGTGCAGCGCTCTCTGTGGCAGGTGCGGGGACTGAGGGCGAGACAGGACGGACAGGGACTTCGAGGATCTTGGCTAGACACGACAAATACTCAGACAGGGTCCTGGCAGCTATGATGACAGGCATTTCATGTTGAGATGAAACAGACTGTAAAACTGCATCAGCCGCTCGATCGGCCGCGGCTCTCACGGCAGGCTTCACTGGAGGCTTGGGCGGTTCGGACGCAGTCTTCACTGTAGGCTTGGCCTGTTCGCCGGCAGACTTCACTGGAGGCTTGAGCTGTTCAGACGCTGGCTTCACTGGATCAGACCTCGCCCTCTCAACCGCGGGCTCAGGAATCAGGCTTCCAGCAGCAGATACAGGACAAGCGCTCACAGATGCCACCTCAGAAACAGTGGTCACAGCTGCAGACTTCGGAACAGCGCCTAGAGCTGCAGCTTCCGGAACAGCGGTGGCGGCTGCAGATACAGGAACAGCACATACTGTTGCAGCTTCATTAACAGCACTCGCGGCAGCAGACTCAGGAGAAGACGGCGATAGGGAACAGGAAGCTCCCTTCTTTCTCCTCTTCTTCTTTGGCCGCGGGACAATGGTCACAGCAGGGCTCGCGACCGGCTGGCCGGGCTCAACGGAAGACGAAACGGGAACAGGGAAGACCACTTCTGGTTGGGTGAGCTCAGATGACGATGACTCCGAGGGGGAATCCCAAGAAACCCGTCTCCCTCGTTTACCACGGAGGTCAGCGGGTGTGGAAGACGCCTCTGGAGTCATGGGGGAACCAGCCTGGTCCCCAAGCGTCGCGACGCCTATCATTCGACCCTCGGGAATGATAGGTAGGCGGGCAGAAGGTGAAGACCTCGAGGAAGCCGCCTCGGACTCCTCCTGGGAGAAGTGGTCATACAGACGAGAGAAGTTCGACAAGATCCACTCACCCTCGGGTGAGTATGGAAGGGTGACACTCTTCTTGTTGAGGGGAGAAGACAACCAGACTTCTCTAAGGGGGTCCGGATAACGCTTGGCAGGGACGGGCAAACAGTCTGCAGGGTTCGGTTTTGGTCGGTTCATTCTGTTACGTGGACAAAAGGAGATGAACCCAAAACAGACAGAGTGCAACGAACAGGGGGTTTATTGGAACAAAACAGGAAAACAAAGCCCACGAGGGGGCAAAACACGACTAGGACAAGGAATGGATGGCAGACTAGACTAGACAATGACTGTACAATAAACTGACAATACTTCAAATAAACGTTCACAAAGACAAGACTCTACACTAAGTACTCACGGGTAAGAAATGGCAAGGTATAGCAACATAAACAGATTCGACAACATTCAGCATACGTTAGGCAATGAACCAACACAAGACAGCAAACACAAGGGGATTAAATACCAAGAAACTAACGAGGGGAACAGGTGACGCTGACAAGGCAATCATGACTAAACACGGATAACAAGGGGGCGGGGTTACAAGACGAGACAACACAAGCACATGGCCAAACAATTGGCCATGCGCTTGTACACAAAACATTGGTTCTGTCATGATCCTGCCACAAGACTAAGAATAATCAATAACATGATGGCAGAATCATGACATGAAGTTCACAAAAACAGAGGAGGGCCATCAAAATATCTTTATCTCACACTTATATTTTGCTTTTTACATTGCTACTCTGTTTCAAATAAATGCTGTTCTTTTGAACGTTCTGTTCATCAAACATTCTGGGAAAAATGTGTCACAGTTTGAAGAAATGTTTCTTAAGAAGCAACTCAGCATATTAGAGTGATTTCTGAAGGAAATCTGATCATATGACACTGAAGACTTGAGTAATGATGCTGAACGTTCAGCTTTGCACAGGAATAACTTAAGTTTTTTAAAACAGATTCAAATTCAAAACAGTTATTTAAGTTAATTGTTACTCCAACCTTTTGAATAGTTGTGTACATGGAGAGCTAATTGCTTGTTGTCTTACACTGTTGACAAGATCACTAAAACCCTCATTACATGAACACTCATGAGACAAAAACATGCATTAAAAACCTTTAAACACACACTTCAACACTTGATACTTGAATCACGAAGAGGGTAACAATCAGGTAACTAATCTTTTTACATCTCAAGACAATTACTTAACGCGACTAGAAAATCAACAGCATCAATGTAAATAGAAGGTCAAATGATACAATTATATTAAGTATGCTTGCCCCAGTGCAGAATGGGACAGAACCACAAAACCACCAGCTATGCTTGTTGTTTAAACTTAAAATAAAAAATATTATAACATAATAGAAAGGCTGCATTAAAATGCAGTTTTAGATACATTTTATGACACAAATGTTGTTTTTCTTGTCATATTTTGAGTGTTTTAAAAAGTAATTGCAGTTTTCTAAAAATGGCATTTGCCAAGATTTTATATAAATCTGCACTTTCATTGTTTTCTTTCTTGACTGCTAAGTCTTCTGCCCCTCTAATCAACTGTAAAGATGTTTAGTCTCATCCTGCACAAGCGCTCATGCAAGACGCCACAGTTTCATGGGAAACAAGTTCATGATAGTCTTCAGCTCAACAGTAGCTTATTAACAGATTCAAAATGTGCTGAGTGGCAAACCTCTCCGTTCAGCTGGGAAACAAACCGCATGAATCCAGTCTGGCATTCCTTTATTTTAGAGATTGGGCTGTTCACATGGTCTGGTAAATATTGTTGTTTTTCTGCATGATTTTTTTTTCCAATAAATGATTTGTTAAAGGGGTGGTATAATGCCCTTTTCACAAGATGTAAAATAAATCTCTGATGTCCCCAGAATGTGTAAGTGAAGTTTTAGCTCAAAATACCCCACAGATATTTTTATATAGCATGTTAAAGTTGTCACTTTTTGAGGGAACTAGCAAAAACGCACCGTTTTGTGTCTGGCCCTTTAAATGCAAATGAGCTGCAGCTCCCGACACAGTGGACGGAGCTTCAAGAGCTCGTGTGTGTGTGTGTGTGTGTGTGTGTGTGTGTGTGTGTGTGTGTGTGTGTGTGTGTGTGTGTGTGTGTGTGTGTGTGTGTGTGTGTGTGTGTGTGTGTGTGTGTTAGCAGCTCCGATTACCTCTCGCAGACACATGCTAAAATGTCAGAAACTGTTCTGCCTTTTATGTTTAAACCGAAGTCAGACAAAGACAGAGAGACTAAGAAGAAGTGACAACATGTTGAATGCAACAGGACATCTCTGAATGGTTAGTTGATGAATTTATGTTGCTGATGTGGAGTTAACTATCTTCAATTAGCATATTCTGTCAGGATAATCTATAAATCGCTTATAGGAACTGTTGTGAGATGCACACAGAGTGACTTTCTATTGCATGTGAAAAGACAGATGC